GTGCGCGTTTACACCATTCAAATTGTTGATGGATTGATGCAGTTTTGGTTTATGACACAAGGTGTTAGTTGACAACAATTTTTAATTTCTCAGTACCGACCTCAAAGCAAAATGTTTATTATTGTTAAAGTTTCAGATTTTCTATTTTGTTATTCAAATTTCAAATGTTTATGTGTAAAATTGTTTTGTGTTAAATGTATTAAATGTAAATCAATGGAAAAGAATGAACAAAAAAATGTGTCGTATGAATGAAGCGTCTGTTGCCACGTCAAGCGTCGTCGCGCCGGGTCGAAATTGTCCCGGGATGGAAAAGGCCTTCGTGCGGACCTGAAGGTCGCTCGGGCCAATTTCTTTTGGCAGGGGAGATTTCTGTGCCGATTTTAAATTCAAAGATTTAAAATCCGCGCCAGGCAATGGACAAGTCAGTCCAACATGACGTAACGCGGAAGGATACGAACTGGAAGACCGTTGGGAGCCGTGCCGTGTGCAAACGTCTCGTCGTCACTCGTGGTTCAGTAATCGCGTAGTCAACATGTGAAGTCGCGTTTTGTCGCTGGTGTAGGACGAATTTATTAATATCTTAGTTCGTAGCTCGGAAATTAGCGTTCGGGCGGAAATTGTACGTGCATCAAACGATCGCAATTGTCAAAATTTCGCCGAATTGCATTTGGGGGTGTGTTTTATTAGTATTAAGTCGAGACAGTTGAGATGCCGGATTGATTGTTCGCGTTCGTGATGAAAATTCGTACATGCATCATATCGATAGCAAATGTCAGTTTCTAGCGAATCGCGGATCGTCGTGACGGTATTTTCAATTGAATCATTAAACGCCAGCTCGGAAAAACAAGAATTAATAAGTCCTACACCAGAAAAAACCGTGTCGTGATATTCCGCTCGGTCAGACAAAAAGTCACCAAACCACGAGTCAGTTTTTAAGTGTTCTGTATGCGTGAAACTTCGTTGGGATGAAAGTGTATGTGTCGACATGTGTACGTAAGTAAATGTTTGTGTTATTTGTGTTTTAGTATTAAAATAGTCTTGCCAATCTGCCACATTTTTTCACATGTACCACTCGTTTTACAAGTTATGAATCATGTTTTGTTTGGTCTGAGATTTTCATGTTTCATTTGGTCTACTTAGAGCACATGGTCACGATTCAGGATAAAATGTTTTATTAAATTTGGTCATGTCATACAAAGAATTTAAGTTATAATAGTGAACCTAGTCAAATGAAAATTATTTATTGAATTGAAATGGTATATTAATTTAAAGAGCAATGTTTATCTGTGATATTATTATTTTGTATTCTATGTAAAGTCAGATTCTATCATCATCAGTATTATTATTTAAAACGTTTGTATTTCATGTGTAGAATAATTTTGAACAGTATTACATTTTTTAATAGTGAGAGTTTGATTGTGTAACGTAAATGGGGGTAACAGAGTGCTCGGTCGAAGGCTAGGGTTAACAAAAGGTCATGAGGATAGACTCCCATTAAATTCATAAATATTAAATACTAAATAAAAATTGTCAAATAATCGACTCAGCAGTCGATTGGCCCCGTTGCACTGATCAGCAAGGAGTGATGTAGATCACAAACCTACATAATAGTCCCTGTTTGATTAAATTGTAACTGGCCAGTTTGATAATTACGAACATCTTTGGGGAGTCTGGTGATCCAAAACAAATAAATAAAATCATCAATGCTAGGTCATCCCGAGACTTTGTAGTTTCAAAATGTGGCAAACCACCAAAGCTTACAATCAACTCTCTCACTCTCTCTCAAACCGTTAATTATTGTGCACAAAATGTAACTGCATTGTTTATGTTTAATTTGTATCACAGCTCAATTCTGATTCATTATACAGTGTTATTACAAAAATCCATCTTATCATTATCCTGTGTTTTAGCTTATATTATTAATATTATACTGGTAAATTTAAGAGTATTGGTTTAACTGAAGAAGTATACAAAGTATACACAATGAGTGTTGATGATCACATTTTTTAATATCAAGTTGGTGAATTCATGAATAATCGGCTTAACCGAATCCAGTATATATAAACATCTTGAAGTCATACTTTGATAAATAGTTTCTGAACAAACAGTTTCATAAATATTTTCAATCAATATTTCAATATTATTATTTGCAATTTTACAGTTTTACAGAGTATCAATTCATATCACAATCTTTCATCAGAACAGCACATTTTATTTCATGGAGTGATCAAATAGACACATCTATTAGTTTTAAGAAGTGTTAGAATTAAGCTGAAGAAGGTGTGAAGGAGGACAACATATCAGACCTCTCACGGTCCATAAATCGGACTTCTGGGATATTTAATTACAGGGCCCACACTTAACATCTTTATTTCCACTGCGCAGCTCTGTGATTGTAATGTCCTCAGTAGTTCAATTAAAAGTGTAAATTAAATTCATTAAAACCCCACCAGGGGGCAACTTTTTGTTATACTCACACCTGTATGGAATAGCCAAATTGCATTACATAAAGGTGTGAGGTGATTTTATTTGATGAAATGAAGTAACAAGTAAAGAGCTATTTTCTTTAATTGTTTTTTTTTTCTTTACAAAAAGTGGTAGCACTAATTTGAGAGGTCTGGTAACAAGGAAGCAGATTGGCATTACTACCATGGCAGGTTGGCATTGATAAGGGTATCAGTTGTTATCTCTAAGGCAATTATCCACATTGATATTTCTGTGTTTGTTTACTTGTTTATTTATTTGTGTCATATTCGTACAGAGATTATTTATATTTACATTTATATTTACATGTGCAATAGTTTTCAATTTTGGGTAAATAGAGTCAAACTGAAGTCAATTGTTTTAAACATTTTCATAATTACATATTTTGAGAAACAATGAATCATCTGAGTCATGTTATGTAACCACTGTGAGCGACATGAAGGCTGGCCAACAGAGGTCACGTTCCAGCTGTGGTGGGGCGAGAGTAGAACCTACCCGCACAGACAGGCAGACATCGGGCCGTTCACCACAACAATGTCCCCCGCCCCCGCCCACTCCATCGGCAACAGCTGACTGTCGACTGCGCTACGGGTCAATGAACTGATTGTTGACATCTACTCAACGCTGAATGCTAGATAGATAATTCTACAGTGTGTTAAGCGTGCGCGTTTACACCATTCAAATTGTTGATGGATTGATGCAGTTTTGGTTTATGACACAAGGTGTTAGTTGACAACAATTTACCGGTCTTTAAAAAGGGGGATGCCAATGATCCTTCTAGTTACAGACCAATATCATTGCTACCAGTTTTTTCAAAAATCCTTGAAAAAGTTGTATACAACCAGTTGTTGGATTTTTTGGAATCAAACCAGTTGCTGGATCAAGAGCAATATGGTTTTCGACCAGGAAGATCCACAACCACTGCTAGCATTAACTTCATTGAATCAGTTATCAACTCAATTAACAACAATGAAAAAGTTGTTGGAATATTTTTGGATTTTTCTAAAGCTTTTGATAGTGTCTCACATGATAAATTACTTGAAATTCTTCATGGCCTAAACATAAATAATAAAGAATATAATTGGTTCAGACCATATTTAAACAATCGGAAACAATGTGTTCAAATTCGACATACCTCATACTATCCAAATTGCAAATATGCATACACCCAAAATGTCTTGTCCAACTTTAAAACAGTAAAGTATGGTGTCCCACAGGGATCTATACTGGGTCCCTTGTTGTTTCTTTGCTACATAAGGGGGTTTCCAGGAGTTGTAAATGCTGGAGGATCTGTATGTCTGTATGCAGATGATACAAACATAACAATTACAGGTAAATCTCAAGAAGAAGTGGAACTAAAGTCTTTTTTAAATTTATTGTCAGTAAATGAATTCACAAATAACAAAAATCTACTAATAAATTCAAATAAATCTAATATTTTATCTTTCTCCACAAGGCAATCAAGATTAAAATTACAACCAGATATATATCTTAATGGTTCAAAATTAAATCAAGTGGAGCACACTAAATTTCTAGGTCTAATATTAGACCAGCATTTAACCTGGGATGAGCATGTGAAACATGTGGTAAAAAAATCTACAGCTGGTATTTATGCTTTGCGACAAATGTCCCGTGTCTCAAGCATTGAAACTCTTAAAACTATTTATTTTGCTTTGATAAATTCACATATAGCTTATGGAATAGCTTTATATGGTGGTACCACAAAAAAAAACCTAGACAAAATTCTACGTCAACAGGAAAAAGCTCTTAGAATTATCTTTAGTATAAAAAACAGAGAATCAGTTAAAAAATATTTTTCTAAATTGGGTATAATGACCATCTATGATTTATACATTTTTGAAACTATTCTACATGTAAAAAGTTCAGATTATCAAACTAAAAATTTCCACAGTTATAATTTACGAAACACCAGGCATGTAGAACAACACAGATTGAAGTTATTTGAGAAAAAAACCAGTTTCATTGGCAAAAAATTTTTATTTAGCCTACCCAAAAATATTTTCAATGAACATAATTACAGTAGCTTTAAAAAACTACTGAAAAACTATTTGCAATCTAAATCATTATATTCAATTGAAGAGTTTTGGAATTTAAATGATTAGAAATATGTTATGTTATGATTTATGTTTGTAATCTATTATTTAGGATACTTGTATACCTAATTTTTTGCTTATCTTTTCCTTTCTGTGACGCAGTTCATGTATTTGCTGTAAAATACTTGATGAATAAAGATGATTTGTATTGTATTGTATTGTATTGTATTGTATTTATATCCATCCATATACCGGTACAGCCAGCGTATCGGCCTGACTTGAAGTTACCTTGCATTTGATTCGTTGACTTTTTCAATAATTGCACTGAAAATATAAGTACTGTCACATATTTTACTACCGGTAACTGTTTTATTAGCCTACATTTGATTTTTCAATTTTTAGGTGGCTATGTTACGATCTCTTGGAGGGAACAGTATTCTAGACATAACGGCCAGAGTCCTTAAAAGGATAATGACGAATGATGTTGCAGGACGTTACAGCCTGTTAGGGAGATAGAAAAGTTTGTTCAAGCAACTTGCTCTCTACAAAGCAGTTCTCAGTGAGTACACTTTTTTCTATTTACAATTTATTGGCGCGAGGAGATTGTTTGGTGTGTTGTTATTGTGATTAAGGTTGTAACGAGTTATTTTTCCTAGGGGGGTATAATTTCGCTATTTGGCCGCGTGACTGGTGATAACTCGCGTTGTGGTTGTTATTGGCAAGTCGTCGTGGAACTCACTGTGTTTTAGGCACTCTGGGCTTAACTATTGGATAGTTAGGACGAAGCCCGAGTTGTGTAGTCAGCAAGAGACAAGTAAGCAAGAGAGAGAGTAGGAATTGGCTAGCTCAGGAGCTCGCTAACTCGGTCGTGTGTCGGAACTGGCTAACTCTGGAACTGGCTAACCGTCTCAGTCAGGAATTGGCTAACTCCGGAACCCGCTAACTCGATTTTGTCTCGTGGCGGAATTCGCTAACTCTGGAAGTCGCTAACCCGGCCGCGCCCACTGCATGGAGCGTTGCCAACCTTGCACGACAAAATAATCGTACATTACCGTATTTCAAAATATCAGTGTCAATGAAGATACAGTAAATGTAATTGTTTTTGTTATCAATTTCACTTTTAACAGATAACTAGCCCAAAGTAATTCAAAGACAATTATTAAAAATTCATGAAAAGTGTTTTTTTTTATTTAACTCTACAATGGCCAGTTAAATGTTTATGATTTCGATCTTAAATATAAATGCCATAAGTATAAAAGAAAATAATAGAGTTGAAAAATATTGAAAAATAATTAAACCCCTACGAAATTAAGCTAAAATACACGCTAGTTCTCAGACACGGAAAACAAATTTAATCGTAATGTCATCAAACATCGTAACTTTCATAACTAATTCATAGATTTAAAATTAAATGTTCGTCGTTGAATCGCCCAACTTACGTGTAAAAATATGACATTAGACTAAGCTTTTATCTAGGCCTAATAGTTTAAGCCAAAGCACTGTAGGCCATAGTAAATAGTTGCCTAATAAATAGTTGAAAACGGATTTTCTTAGTTGGGTTTCCTTTACATTGGTTTCACAATCGAAATAAACTATACCAAGCCATTGCTCGGTTCACCGTTCCCCGGTACTGAGCTACTCAATAGACAATAGCTTTGTTTTTGGACAAGATCAAGTAATTTTAGGTATGGCCACCATTCATAAGAATTGTAACAAACAAGAACGCCTGGGCCGATTTAGAACCAGCCTGAAGAAAAACTCCAGACTTTTAAAAAGTAGGCCTACTGAAAGACGTAAAATTAATATGAATTAAACAAAATTAAGAGGATGACCCGGGTTCTATACTAATAGCCTACGATAAAAGAAATTTACAAGTTGTATTTATGCATAGACTCATTTTTAATGCAATCTATGAATAAATTAGGCCTACAACTTTATATTGTATTGATAAATATGTATTTAAATTCAATAGCTCTATTTAAAAATACATTACCACTACAATGTATTTCTGGACTGACGTTTAACGTGTAAATTTTATCATGATTTATGATTCAAGGTTACAAGCCCAGTATATAAAATACGAACTCAATAATTTATTTGCAGAAGTTCAAAAAATTGTATTTATTCGAATAAAAGAAACAAATGGCGAACTATGAAAATAGATATTTCATAACATGAAAAAGATCCAAATTAAATGTACATTTTTATCTCTTTGCATACCATAAAGCTACTATTTAAGTAAGAAGCCCAAATATAAAACATACTCCCTTATATTAGTATATTTCTAATCCTTATGGATCAGCTGAAAACAGTTTTATTGTTGGTTCTGTCCGGTTCACTGTCTTTAGAGGTTGTGTTTTGTTTACAATTGTTTCTTGTTTCCAGTCATTTAAAACCTCTTTTAACCACATAAAACGTTCTAATCACAACTAATACACGTCCCCTAGTTATATAATCAAATTGTAAAGAGCAAATTATGAAGTTAACGATAGAAATAATAGAAACACAATTTTGTCGACACTAGCGATCAGTGTCACCGGACATGAACTAGACGCGAAAAACAAGCTTCAAAGTTTACAATGGGATATAAAGTTTACTTGTGTTGGTTAGTCTATGGTAAGACTATAATGCATTTTCCACCCTAATAATCATGAGAATAATGTTAAACATACTTCTCAATATATTTATTTGATCAACTACGTTGCTCTTACTCCTAATTAATCGTAGGATACGACATTATGGTACCGGTACCGATACTATATAGGTACTACACTTTCGGTAACACTGGCCGAAAATATTCGTGCTTGGCTCCCATTGGACGGCCCGCGAGGCTTCTGATTGGGAGTTAGCGAGTTCTGCGAGGGACCGAGTTGGCGACTTCCGTACGAGGACGGAATTCGCTAACCCGGCTCTAGAGCGGGTTAGCGGGTTCCGGGGATAGCCAATTCCGAAACCGAACAAGTTAGCGAGTTCCTCTCATCGACCAAATTTGAAGATAGGGCTTTTAACATGGGGTTAGCGAGTTCCAGAGTTAGCCAATTCCGCGGACCCGTCAGCAACGACCCCCTAGGAGAGTGGAGAATCGGCTTAGGCCTGGTGGTGATTATTGCACGTTTGTTTTGATGACTTGTTTTTGACTTGTTCACAGTGCCCGTGTATGAGCCAGTCCTATACCGGTTAGACCCGGCTTTTGGCCTAGTGGTTTCCCTGACCTTATCGCAGACCCTGGAACTTTACCCAGCCATTGTAGGCTGAGCTATCCTCAGCAAACGGTTGTGACTGCACCTTTAATTTTTTTTTAAAAACATGTTGTATATAAAGTATTATTCGAATACACAATAATAAAATACAAATACAAATTGACAAAGTATTACGACAACAACTTAACAGCTGATCACGCCGACTTCGACTGTGTTGTTGTTTACGGCTCACTTGCATTTACGTACAAGTAAGATTCATAGGAATTTTGAAAATTACAGCTTTCTTGTGACAGCGATGTTGATGCAGAAGATGACTCATCCGATTATTTTTTAGAAAATTGGTTGTCTGGAAGTGGAGAGGAATATATCTTTCTTGAAAACTGTTACTCCTCTTTACGTATAAGGATGAGTCACCCTGATTAATTCTAAAAGTTACACTTGCACAATATTATGTCTGATGGTTATTTTGTAATTCCAGACTCAGTAAAACTCCAACTTAAAGAGGCTACGGTAAAAGAAGTGGACCAAGTGATAGCACGATGGCTTGTCCAGGCTAAAATAAGAAGGTTGAGAAATTCTAGCAAGTGAGTAAAATAGTAAAATGTAGGCTATATATTTTTTAACAAGGGAGCTGATTTACATTATTACGTAGCAAGCCACGTCTTCCCAATGCTGGGAAGGGATTTAAAGCCTCGTTCCCATGACGCATGTGTTTTGAGGCGCAGGTTGAGCTACCAAGCTTGTGTGAGATGCACGCCTGGGGTGGCCCACGGCGCATGGCGTGGGTTGGGAGACAAAACAGCCGATTTCTCACGAGCCATTCATTCCCTTGCAGATCTAAAGCATATGAAATCACAGTTTCTATATTTGTTTTATTTTTATTTTATATACAATGACAGTGACATGCTGGTGGATTTAACAAAAGAGCCATCCAGAATGTTTGAGCATTTTTGTCGAATGGCAATAGTCAATTTTGATTTTTATATTTATTTGGTCCAATCGGGCCAGTAACAATTAAACAGCAAGCAAATAATTTAATATAAAATATCACAACACGCCATTCCTCCACTCCATATTCACTAAATTAAAAAAAAACAAAACAGTGTGATCCAACGAAGTTCAGATGGCAACTGAATTTTTTCAGGTCTGATGCGACCCCGCGCCTTTGTTTGAATGGCTTTTGTGCCGGCTCATGCTATATACGCTTGTGCCTTTGATGCTCATGTGTGTACCGCCAATTTATGGGAAGGGGCGAGCCTGGTCAAGCCGCCCCAACAAGGCCCCACGGTACCTACGGCGCGTAGCTCGCTCGTGGTTACATGGCACGAGCGCTGTGTGGTCCGAGCGCCGGGTGGCGTGAGCGCCACGCGGACTACCTGCTATGTTGTAACATATTTGACAGCGCTAATCATGTATACTGTACACTTTAATCGTCAAATTTTCCGTGTTGTGGATAAATTGTGTCCGTATATGCAAGCTTTTAAAACCTTGCAATCCAAGATATGATCAATTTTATATTTTCTGATTGAGCGATGCAGTATATCTTTAACTTAACTGATTCACAATCTATAAAAATCTCAAGTGAAAACCTTTTAAGTATTTTAAGACAAAGAAATATAAAATAACTAAAATAAAACTTGAGTTACGTATCATTGATTGAAGATAAGTACTAAAACGATTATAATTATTGTTTATTTGTTATATTCAGCAGTGTGCTTTAGGTAGGATTATTAAGATCGGAATCTCAATAATCAATAGCTCAAATGAAAGCTGGTATTTCACTAAAGGTTTTTAGACCATATAGGGTAATGTGATTACAACTGCTAGAATAGGCCTATATCTTTAATTGAAGTAAAAAAATCAAAAAAATCCAATTTATATTTTTTTGTTGAGTAATACATTAGATAAATTAATAATGATGCTTGATGACAAATGTGTGCTTGCATACCTTTAGTTTAAGGACAAAATTTTGAAAATCGGTCGGGTAGAAGACCTTTAACCCAACTCGGATAAGAAAACCCAATATTTTTTATAGATGGCAATAATTGGTTTACCAGTATGCATAATCTAAACATACGAAACATGTGTTAATAATTTAACAGCTTATTGTTAAATTGTTATTTAATTTATTTTTCTTTGATTAAATGTTGTTCACAATTTGTGTTTAAAGTGAGTTCCTTATGTTAAGTATGCGATTCTAATGTTATGTGCTTAATCTGTACCATAATATTAGTGAGTAAAGTGGTGTATGTATTTCACAACCATTATTTTACTAGAGACCGTTGTATTTAACCACAATGGGCTGCGTTTCTTTTGCGAAGGCGTTCTTATTTAATTAATTCTTTAAATGTAAATATTACTTTAATTATTTTAATAATATTACTTTAATAACATTTGAGAAGTTTTGTTAAGTGTAAGCAGTGTGAGGAATGTTTTATTACTATAAAAAGTCAAAACAAGTAACTATTTTATAAAAATTAATATTGCTTTTATTTTATGATTTATTTTATTTTAGGATAAGTTGAACTCTAACTGATATCACTATGTTTCCTAATCGTAGGCTTTTTTAATAAGTTAGGGGTGATTAGTAAAAAAATGTTATGCTGATGTTTTTTAATAAAAGATTTTAAATATTCTTGGCTATTATCATTACTTTTGTATTTAAACAGTCATCTAACAATGTTACAAAATCAGGTAACAATTTGAACGTGCATTTCCCGTTGTGTATGAGAAGGGAAATCCCGTCTCGATCTCGTCTCGAAATTTTATGAGAAATAAAAAATCTTGTCTCGTCTCGAACTAAAAATCCAATCTCATCCATCCCTAGTTTAAGGTTAACATGGGAAACTCCAGAGCCACTGGGGCGGAGCCCGAAAGTCAGATCAGAAAAAAACTACTTAGTTTTCTTAATTAATACCTAAATAATCAGTGTACCAAATTTCTTCTAGGTAAATGGTAAGTTGACGAATTAGTGATGAGTGAGTCAGTGTGGGCTTTGCATTTTATAGGTATAAATTGATAAAAGAAATACCAAAGTTTCCTATACATAAAAAAGAAGTACTATATCACATTTCGGGCGGAATAAATATTTTAGTAGCAATTAGCCCTTCTGTAAACACAACAGATTATTAGCAGATGTTTGAAAACCTATTTGGAATGTATCTACTAGGGATGGACGAGATTGGATTTTTAGTTCGAGACAAGACGAGACGAGATTTTTTATTTCTCATAAAATTTCGAGACGAGATCGAGACGGGATTTCCCTTCTCATACACAACGGGAAATTCACGTTCAAAATTTTTACCTGATTTTGTAACATTGTTAGATGACTGTTTAAATACAAAAATAATGATAATAGGCAAGAATATTTACAATCTTTTATTAAAAAACATCAGCATAACATTTTTTTATTAATCACGCCTAAATTATTAAAAATGCCTACGATTAGGAAACATAGTGATATCAGTTAGGATAGAGTTCAACTTATCCTAAAATAAAATAAATCATAACATAAAAGCAATATTAATTTTTATAAAATAGTTACTTGTTTTGACTTTTTATAGTAATAAAACATTCCTCACTCTGCTTACACTTTACAAAACTTCTCAAATGTTATTAAAGTAATATTATTAAAATAATTAAAGTAATTTTTACATTTAAAGAATTAATTAAATAAGAACGCCTTCACAAAGGAAACGCAACTACAACACGATCCTGTAATGCACCGGGTATTGCATTGACTTTCTGCAGGCGTTTTTAATTTTTTTTTTTTTTTTTTATTCTCGTCTCGGTAAAAATCTTGGCCAAAAAGAAATCTCGTCTCGTGTAAAGAGATTTAAAATTTCCCGAAAATTTCCCGAAATTGCGAGACTTGACCATCCCTAGTATCTATATAAATAAAAATTAGAGTTTTGTCTGTACATTGCTCAGAATCATACATTTTTAGGTTATTTTTACGTTTTATACATTAAAGAATCCGAAACAAGTCTCATCTAAATTTCTGTCTGTCTGTCTGTCTGTCTGACACACTCAAGATGGCATTTTACGCAATCTTCTCCAGGAAAACGAGAGTACCTATCAAGACCCAAGTCATTTTAATGTATTCACTGGATTGGCGAGAGTGTCTTTAGCCATTAAAATATGGTCTCACTACTTTGTAATTAAAATTACGGACGTTCAAAAATGCAGTTTTGTGCGATTTTTGTCAAGTTTTCTTCCAATTTGTATCACATAAACATCTATGAAACAACGAACAGCTGTTCGGATCAAGATTATTTTTTCTAGCTGTCACTGAAATGTTTACAAATGTTGTTTTTGTTTACAAATACCACAACCATTTCCGATCACGTTTTGAAGGCAAATCCCATCCAAGTGAGATTAAAAACGTTTTTATTACATAAAGGATTTAATTAATCGCAAGTGGAATTATATAGTGTAACCGTAAATTAAATAACTAGGCATCATCCAGGTCAGGAACCAGAAATATGTGTATAAAATTGTTTTGGAGTTTTGATAACCAGAAAGAAGACATTGAATCAAGATTGAATCAGTGTTGTATACGGCTGGGAAACTTAAATTTACTAATGACCGTCGCCAATAGCTTAGAAACAATGTTCCACTCATTGGCGGCTCTTCAATGGCGGTTGTGTAAAGTGTAAAGCAAAAAAAAAAAAATTACAATTGTAGTGGGTGATTGTAACAGAGTCTTACGGATGATGCTGAACTCGATTTTCCAATGTGTCACTTTTTGTTCCTACCATTGACTATATAAAGTCAATAGTTCCTACTCACCGTGTGATGCAATCGCTGGACCATACAGCCAATAGGCCCATAGCCCTTCTCTTGGGTACGTGTGGTACGTATGCTTACCCAATTATTTATAACAACCCTTTCGACAACGATCCTTGATACCGGTACTTTTCCATAGAATACACGGCCTACCTAGGTACTTAAGAAATAAAATTACAAACGTCCAAAAACCCAACGTTGTGTGATTTTTGTCACATTTCCTTATAATGTTAATATATATACCAGCAACCACTGTTTAGAGAATACATAATCTATTAAATAACAGAAAGTTATGTTGTCTAAGGTTGTTTTTTTTTTCAAACTGACACCGATAAGTTTACATTAAGAGTTGTGTACAAATAAAGCAACTAATGGGAATTAACTTTGACTGCCGATAACTTTTTACGAGAAAATCCAAAACCAAGAGATCAATAACCTTGATTAACGCATATAATTGGTCGGCTGTCAGTTCTGAACTGTAAACGTTGGTTTTTGGTACGGTACTGGTTCTTTTCCTTTTAACCTTTAGTAGCAGCAAGAATCATTTTTACGTACCAACACATCACAGTAATTTACAAATTAGTTATCGTTGGTGTTGCACCTTATTTATTACAGGCGTAGGCCTATTCAATTTAATTGATGTCTTAACTGTATAATTTTTGCTTTTTCTGTCTGGATTCCAAAATGTTATGCTAAGAAAACTATAACGCATTTTAGTAAAAAATTTATTCAGCAAACCATCATGAATTGTTCAAACACTTTGAACGTTGTTTATGTATCAATAGTTCGTGGCCTA